CTTGGCTACGACCTTAAAGCATATCGTGCGCTGTTAGTCTTGCATGCTGCTCAATAACATTCAATATTTAGTATTTACTCTTACAGGTATCTAGGTTGTTACTTTGATCTCTGTATCGCATTGTTCTCTTGTTGTTTGTTTTCTTTTTTCTTCTTTTAGTAGGTGATCCAACGGATTTTCTCAGTGTCTTCTCTTACTGCCCCCCTTCCCCTCTTTCTTTCTTTCTTTCTTTCTGTCCAATTTGTAATAACTTAAAATAAAATAAATAAATGAACAATAATAATACAGATCAATCAAGTGGACCACTTGAAAAAGTAAATCCATTGGGCATCTTTCCTGCCCTTCAGACAACAATTCTGATAGCTGAACAGGACACGCACAAAAAACAAACAAACAAATTTATATGAAGTGAAAACTTACACCTTCCCCTCACAACAAAACTCACTATCACAGTCTACCAATAGAGGGCACAGTTGTATTAGTTAACTGCTCTTCTTCTCCTGCCTGGTTGTATCCTGCTCATGGACTCCTGCAGGATGCCAGCTTTAGTTCTCATGAGTGTGAATTATTTAGTTTGAGTGGCTGTGATGGGACAGAGATAAAGAAGAGGGTAGAGGGTGACTCTGAAGGAGCTCCAAGGCCAGTTGAATGTGCCTACCCAACTTCTCAGGTTTAAGTTAGAGGTTTTTGGTTTGGTTTTTCTCAAAGTGAAATCCAGGCCACCTGACAAAATGATTCCTGTTTTGACAAAATAATTACAACCGAGGAAGTTAATGTAATAAAGATCATAAACACAGACAAAGTGTTGTCACTGTACACTTAATGTGTACAGGTTTCACGACTCAGGCCTGTAATCCCACCACACATCATATTTTGACAGGCTACCTCTGTTCCAGCTACTTACTTTATCTTTTTCACCTGAGGGGAGGACTGGCTTCAGTTGCTGTAACACCTAACCACCCAATAGGCTTGTGAAACATGACCCTGCCTTCTTACCTTTCTGTGTGCCTGTTTACATTCATTTCCTCAGCAATACCCAGTGGCAGCGACTTTATGTGCAAGGGTTTGTGTCACGGACGTAGCACAGCTGCCTGTTCCCAGACCCTGATGTGGCATCTGATCCTCAAAAATAAAAAAAAATGTAACAAAAAAAAAAAGCCCTGCAAACATCTGTCACATGAGTCAGCTGAGGTTAGACATGAGAGATGCGAGGGATTCCACATCTTACAGCTTTAATTCACTTTAGTCTCACATAGTTTAACCGAAAGCATCATTAACGGTCCTATCAGACTCAGTTCTTTGTTGATAGCCATCAGCCTTGGAAAGCCAAAGCAGTGCATCTTTAGAGGAACCTAAAGAAGCTTAGTACTGGACTTTACAGTGAAAGTCATTTATCAAGAACAACCTGAGAACTAAGTATGAGTAAGATTCACTTGTGGCCATTTTATTAAGTAAACCTGTTCAATCACGTGTTTATGTGAATATCTTGTTTGTTT